GTGGACCAGAGCAGGCACGCTTCTGCCGGTCCGCCGCCACCCCGGTGTAACTTTTATAACTGTAGGTGGCAACCTTTTCGTTTTTCGTCCATGGCTTCGTTTCCATGGTTGAAACTTTTTTATAGTCGGATGAAGCTTTTTTCATCGCTAGATGAAGCTTTTTCTGTCATCGGTTGTAACTTTTCTTGGTCATCCATAGCTCCAGTCATATACTGGTTGAAGCTTTTTTCGTAGCCGGTTGAAGCTTTTCCTATCGCTAGTTATAGATTTTTTTGGTCGTTGGTTGTAGCACTGGGCATCTCCCCCGGTGCTTGATTTTTTGTTGCAAGCTGCACACCGGGGATGAGCGGTGGCGAGCATGCCGACGAGCTCTAGTCATCGCAACCGGAGCTACAACGGTCTCAGCAAGAGCTTCAACCATGGGGTGCGGCTGTTGCACGGGGCAAATCAACAAGGACGACCGGTGGTGGTTGGGGCTGGTGACTAGGATGGTGGCCGGCGGGGACGAGGGCGGACGGTTGCGACAAGGACGGCAACATCGTGGACGAGGGCGGCCAGCGAGCTGGCTGGCGTATGGGAGATCACGAGGCAGTGAGGATGAACAGACGGCATGACTTTTTCTTTTTTACCAGCGAAACAATTAGGGAAGAAGCAATCATGCGGCTATTATGAAACGTATCGTACGTCGACCGGCCGAACGGCGCATATCAGTGCCCTTGCAGATTTCACGCCGACTGTTTGTCATGTTTCTCAGGCGACATCCTTTGGAGACACTAGCCCTGGATCAGTGAGTTCAGAAGGTTTTTTTTTTTGGCCGGAAAGAAGGAAATCTAATTTGGAACAATACATTTGAGTGATGCAATGTAAGAAATCTATCAACGTTTTAGCTTTCAGTAATATTGCATACAAGTGTTTTTCTTTTGGATGTGAGCAACCATTATACTACAACTTAGAAAATTTCCAACTTGCCATTGTTTAAACTCCAGCGATAATGGTCGTGCGCATTCTATGAAATTCGTTATGTCCGGTGAAACCCCATCCAAATTCCTCCTCCCAGAGCATCCCCTAAACACCCAAGAGCGATCCCACTTAGGAATTGCATCCCTAGGTCCTTGTCGGGTCGTATGTGTCGACATCCGCCACCATCGCGTTTGTTGTTGTCGCTAACCATGCTCCGCTCATCCTCGATGATAGTTTACTGTGCCAGTCATCTCATGGACATGATCACCTCTCCTTCCTCGATTCTACACGGAACCACCGCCCCCCCGGGATCCTCGCCATCTGTTGGCTCAAGGGCCATGCGCACCTCAGGAGGATCGTTGCCATTAGTGTCGGTGTTAGCGTAGGTCGGACCGGGACATCAACGAGCGATGACTCATTCTTTGGCTGGAATAGAGCACCATGGAGAGTACAACTGGTGTGGCCGATCTTTGGTGGTGGGGCTCCCCTTTCGGCGATGCGCTCCTCTCTCCTCTCGCTCTCTGGTGATGTTAGTCCGAGTCAGGCCACCAACTCTAATCAGAGCTGCGTGGACCGAGACTGTAGGGCTGGGCACCTCCCATGTTCGCATCGCCACCAAGGGTGGTGGATCTTCTTCCACTGAGCCGTGGATCCATTCCCTCACCTACCTGCCGGGGGCTCACCCTTGCCCACTTGGGTAGGATGGGGCAGGAGTCTTTGATTTGCCTGTGTCCGGGGACTGGAAACGTGCCTAGGGCTGCCCAAGGGCAAGGAAGGAATGCCCTTTCCCCTTGTCCCTTTATGTGTGTGGTGGCTGCAGGTTTGGGGTGGGTTGGCATCGGGACATTGGATGTCGGGGCAGCGGCCCCAGGTGGCGGTCTAGATGGTTGGCTCTTTGGCGGGCATCATGATGACGGCGGTGGCTATGTTCCTTGGTCGTGTGGGTGGCGAGGAGTGTGCTGGCGGGAAGCTCTCGCCCGATCTCCTTCTTTGGCGGTGGTTATGCCCAAATCTAGACCTAGAGGTCTGCACTCATCGTGGATGTTCTAGGCACCTCATGGTTGTACAGGTTGCGTGGGCCTTGCATCCACGATGAACTATTTTCCATTTTGATGAACTTTTTTCTAGTTCGATCAACCTTTTCAAGTAGACTAACTTTTTTTAATGTTGATGTTTTTTTTTCAAATTCAATGAAATATTTTCAAGTTCAATGAATTTTTTTAAATTGATGAACTCTTTTTCAAGTTCATGTTTTTTCAAAATCAGTGAACTTTTTTGAATTCACGTTTTTCCTTTTTTGTGAATTATTTGTGCCTGAAGCGCCGAGTAGGAGCTCCCCACCTCGTGGTTGTACAGGTTGCGCGGACCTTGCATCCACAATGGCTAGGCTAGACCAGTTCCCAACCGCCAGCCCGTTCGGGTCGTTGTGACCCATACGACGGGATGTCACGGGATGTGTCACAACTAATTGGGTTTGACAATGGTGGACTGATGCCCGACCAATACGCGGTGTTGGCACGACATCAACGGTCAGTTCACGGATGATTGTCGGGCCGACGATGACTGCGGGTGGTGGACTATACGGTCGTCAAGCACATAGAACTAATACCTTTAACTGGTTTATTGGTCCCCCTCGTATTCTGGACCATATTTTGAAAATTTTAACTTATAAATTATAAATTATATGTAGCAATAATAATACTACTGAAAACTACATTAATATTTCGGCCGTGCATTAATATTTTGTTCTCAATATTTTGATAATATTTTTTTATGACATGCATTAATATTTTGTTATTCATATATGTGGTCAAATTTTGACATAAAATACCATGGGAGGTAGTACTTTTGGTCGTGTGAATAGTGTCAACCCGTTCACGGATCACACAGGCTCGTGGGCTTAGGTCTTCTGGCTTATACTACAGGGCACGTCTCTCTAGTATTTGCATTGGAAGACTTCTGCACAATTGCCACTGTTACCTGATGCATTCACCTGAGCCTACTGGCTGCTGCTGCGGGTTCATCCCTCTACAAGTACAACAAATTAGAGTACTTCTGAGCGAGCACATGAGCCATGTACTCCTCCGTTTCTAAATATAAGCATTTTTTAGAGATTTTAATACCGACTATATACAGATGTATATAGATGTATTTTAGAGCACTCATTTTGCTGTGTATGTAGTCATGTTGAAATCTCTAAAAAGTCTTATACTCCTTCTGTCCCTAACTAAGTCCCTACTTTAGTACAACTTTGTACTCCCTCCGTCCCAAAATAAATGACTCAAAAATCACTAAACTTTGTACTAAAATTAGTACAAAGTTGACTCACTTTTGAGTCATTTATTTTGGGACGGAGGGAGTACTAGATTGTGGCTTCAATGGAGCTTTCTTTTACTGTTACATCAGAGCTAGATACACACACATCTCTAACTGAAATCGATTCTGAAATGGCCAACAATAAGACACTAGTTCAAATGCAAGCAGTGGACAAGACTGCCAAGACTGCAATACAAGTACTAGATCAGATAGTATGGCTACTCAACATACAAAGCAGGACACCTCTCCAAATCCTACAAGACAACAACACAAACAGACCAGGCGAGAGAGTTACTTGCATACACCCTAGCACTACTGATGCCACAAGACAGGAGTGTGAAATGGTAACCTAATTAATCCGCTACAAGTTAAAATGAACACAGTTAGAACTGTTACTGAGGAAATGCAGCAGCCCTGTGCACTTGGTTGGTGGCACCCTAGTCGCAAGTCATCCAAAAGCTTTCCCCGTATCCTTGTTCTTCAAGTGGCATTCCTGTTTCAGATAAAACAGAGCAAGGATCCAGATACAGGGAATTAGGCATCATGATATATTCGTTTTGCCAGCTTAAGCATCAAAATATCAGATGGGCTAACAAGAAAAGTGGCTAGTCTGACTATAGTCTAATTTTTAGTGCGCTCAGAAAATCAAAGCGATGAATTTGGTCAAGCAATATAATTTTTATTTCAAAAAGCTACAGCAGTAAAGGTTCAATGCCTTCATATCCTGATCGGACATATTTCCGTTTTATAGTCTGTATATTCCAACAAAACAAAACTTTGATATAGAAGGAGAAATGCCACGCAAGCATAAAGTAGCCACTGTTTGCTTGGACTTGCGATGCCATATGGAAGGAAAATTTTCAGTGCAACATGTCTGAATCACAAACCATGAACAAGCCCAAGAGCACTAGTGTAGAAAATCTACCACTTGCGTTCGAGAAAAAGAACATACGACCGGGGAAAAAAAAACAAGCATTAGCAATCTCACACATAGCTTGAGGTTCAAATTTGAGAAAGAGGCTGTAAAGAATTACACAATGATTGTATTTAAGAAATAGGAGATTCCAGGATTGATGGGTTTCTGACTATTTCTGTGCAAGAAAACGTAGAGGTCAACATGATAACAGATTAAAAAGGTTAGGCATCTTTCAGCTCTTAATCCTCTTATACTACATGATGTCTCATATTTTGGTAGGTCTAATTTGCAATTTTGCACTGCTAGTTCGGAAAATTGTGATATAACAGAATGAGAATCCATGCAAAAAACAACAAACAAGATAACTTTCAGCACCACATAGTTCAGTAATCTGTGATACAACAAGTAACTTTTGAGCACAACCACAAATTGCTATTATGATACTATAAAGGGAAGACCAAGTTCATGAAGATTGACTTCTGGAACCTGCACAGGGTTTATAACAAAAGTAATTATTCGATAGAGTGGTCTGCCATAGTCTGATGCTTCAGTATACATCTAGCAAACGACAACAACCATCAACACTATTATGTGTAATTTTGCAACTAATATTGAGCCCATAGAAATATCACTAGCTTCGCTGAAACCTATTAATGGTGAGAGTATATGTGCGATAGGGGATATATGTAGCCATCTGAGTAGCATCAGGTAGATAAAAGTCAACTGGGATCCACCCTGGTAGCATATCTAAAGGGAGATTTCTGTAATCTTATAGGGACTAAGAAACAGATCTGCATCCATCCATAACTGTTAGTTCTCTTTTTTCTCTTACCTATCCATCATTTCCAACGAACCCATTACGCACCGACAACCACACGCAAGGGTACCCCACTATGACCACAAGTAGACACCTTGCAATATCCGTCGGTACACAAGTGATTCCAAATCATCTTACATCAATCATTCACTAATGCCTCCTCTAGTATTGTTAAATGTCCCAGTAAATCAATACAAAGGTGGTTTCATATCATCTTACGTCAAGCATTCACTAATTGTCGCTTAACTAGTATTGTTAAAAAGGCCTAAGGAAACAATACAGAAGTGATTTCAAATTACCTTACGACAAGACTACTATAATGTGGCTTGACTAGTATTGTTTGATCTAAAGAATCAATCACATGTAACACCACTCCACAGCTATACTAAACAGTGAGATGCATGATGCACATTGCAAAATTATGTAAACTCTACAAGTAGACCATACAGATCACCAAAAGGGCAAAAGGCAAACCTTGCAGGACTGAGAGTAGGGAAAATGGGAGGCCAGCTCATCATAAAAGGATAGATATCACCCAAATAATACTCATCTGCTGTCATCTTGTATACTTTACGCAGCGTCCTGTTCTTGACATCCAAGTAGAGCACACATCGACCCATCTCCAAGAATACAAACTCATTATAGTCCCCCACATGGTTTATCCGGATGTCAGCAGTAGGTTCATCCTCGAGAAAATTAGCACACATTTCACTCAAGCAAACAGTGTCCACCAGCAACCAGTTGCCCCCGTTATGGAGCCAGATTTGAAGTTGAAGCTCCTTGATATGGATGAGATATAAAACAGAACCGTCATCGGCCCGCGACAACATGGTGGTTCCACTCAGGTCAAAACTCACCCCTTGTGGGAGCTGAATTGTCGATAAGATTGAGGCTGTCAAATCCAGGACAAGAATTGCATCGTCGGCCGCCAGATAGATTTTGTTGTCAAAGAGCACGCCTTTGGGACTTTTCCATGCATGCAGGTCTGAGGCCAAGGTGAGATGCAGGCGCCAGACATCATCACCATTTTGCAACATATACACATACAGAAGCACCCCAGGTGCATCCATGATATCCTTCACGGTGAGATAAAAGTAGGACCACCCATCCTCTTCTTGTTTGGAGAAGAGTTGTGTCCAATTGTAGATACTGCCTGGTGAGGTTCTGAGTTTTAATCCTGGGAGGATGGTCATACGCATACCTCTCTCATAGCACAGCGGCCTGTGCCTTGCAAATACAAGCTTGAAGGTGTCCAGGCAGAAGCTTGCGCGGTGGGTGAGGACGCTGCCGTTGGAGCAGCCCACCACATGGGCATGCGCGCCGTCGTAGGCGTCCGGCCTGAAGCTTGCGCGGCGGACGACGGCGGCGAGCTCCGGGGGCAGGTGCAGCATGGGGAAGAAGCGTTCGGAGGCCGGATAGTCCCTTTCTGCGATGTAGAAGCCGAGGAGTCTGGGCGGGTGGAGCTCGCGGAAACGGCGGAGGAAGGCGCCGTCGGAGGCGTGGCTGAGCCAGCGCCTGCAGGCGGCGGCGGCACGGACGAGGCTGGTGGGGAAGCCGACGCGGACGATGATCTCCGCCAGGAGGTCTTCGTCGTCGAGCACCTTGGATACACACGCCGGCGGTAGCCGCGCCTCGCCTTGCATCCTGCCCGGCGGCGGCGGCGGCGGTTTGGGAAGAAAGGGGATCGACTTTTTTTTAGGGATCGATGAATAGTGAAGAGCGGATGCCTCTCCCTGAGGGATGGAGTGAAGAGCAAATCAAGGCCCATCCAAGTCCATATGTGACAATCAAGGCCCATACAAGTATCAATCAAGCAATGGATACACACATCTCCAGTTCATTTTACCACTCAAAAAAAAAAACGTAGATGCGGCTGTTTGTCGGAATGAATGTGAAAAATATTTAGGGTCTTCTTCAATCACCTGGGCAGGAATTTCAGACCCGACGATTTTGGAGGCCTTAGCAGTGCGGGAAGCGTTGGCCATCGCTGATGATTTAATGATTAAAAAGATTTTGGTCTCATCGGATTGTCTTCAGGTAATTAATGATGTAAAGGCAAACACTGGAGGTGCACATCAGGCTATTATAAGGGAGATCAGAATTCGTGCACGAGATTTTGAGGAGTGCAATTTCATTCATGAAAGTAGATCAAGGAATTATGAAGCTGATAGTTTAGAGAAATATTCTTTGTACTTAGATACTGGTAGACATATGTGGCTACTTATGCCGCATGACTCTGTAATCATTCCCCCGAACTAGCTGATCAATAAAGATTTTAGTTCCCTAAAAAAACCACTAAAAAATTATATAAAAAATATTTTGTCTAAAAAAACTCAAAAATATATTTACAATTCATTTGCCTTCTGTTTTTCAGTTGTTCAACAAGTGTAATTTGTATTAGTTTTTTGGGGTGCTTTGTGTGTATGTCTTTCTTTTGTATCTGCTACTTTTTTACTTCCATTTTTCTGTTGCGAACTGAGCGTGGCTCAGATGGCCTTTAAAATCGACCTATACATCCTAAATATGGACGTGCAGTGTTTTCAAGTTTTTCGGGGTCCTTAGAGATCGCATTTTCGGGGTCCTTTTCGAGTTTTTCAAGTTCAAGACTTGGCACTAGTGTTCGGGTTTATTTCAGGCATTCCGGCTATGTTCGTTCAGTTGGAGGAGACATTCCTGTCAATTATCAGACAACAGTGGGACTTTGTCAATCTCAATATGTTGTGTCGGTTCAGTATCTCGGACGTGATCATAGGGCCACGGGTGTGTGTACGTGCGTTTATATGGGTGATTGTATGTCCGTCTATGTGAGCATATGTTATTGTATTGTATTTTTAAGTAATCTATATTTTTATTTTTTGCAGGAAGAAAAAGAATCTAATTTGGATTTTTTTGAGAAAACTTCTAATCTATTCATCTTCAATCATGGCAGTACAACGAACACCAGAAATAATAAGAATTGCAACCAGATCCATAGACCACCTAGCAACGACTACAAGTACTGAAGCGAGCTGAAGGCGCGCCGCCATCAACGCCCCTCCCTTGCAGGAGGCTGAACTTGTTCTAGTAGACAGTCGGAAAGTCGTCGTGCTAAGGCCCCATGGGACTAGCATGCCAGAACAAAACCGAGCGATGCAAGGTAAGGAATATTGGAAATATTCCCTAGAGACAATAATATTGTATTATTATATTTCTATGTTTATAATTAAGAGGTTATATTCTATGATATAACTACAATGAAAAGGGGTTTTGCAAAGGACAGGGGCCAGACGACAGGGTCCTTGGAGTTCGGTCCTGGGCCAGACACGGAGGTCCGTGGCATTTCCGGAAACGCCATGAACATTGGCGTTTCATGCTGGAATCCAAGGAGGACTCTTCCTTGCGATCCAAACCAACTTTGGGGAGGCCCCCTCCTCAAGTTCCGACCCCATGACTCAACATATAAATAGAGGGGAAGGGGCAGCCCCTAGAATATAAGTTTCGAAGCCTCCTCTAGTTCTCTCTTGTTCTAGTTCTCGTCTAGTTTGATCTAGACTAGAGCTAGTTCTAGTTCTCTCTAATCCTCATAATAGAGAAGTCCTGTGCGGTTCTATTCTTCTCCCTACAATTTTTCTGCCGACGATTAGCTCTGATGGAAAAGCGTTGTCAGATGGTGAAGCCTATACGCTTGCAATCTGTAGAGAGGCCGTGCTTTCGGTCTTTTGTTCGAGGGATCGTTCATGAATGGTTCGAGGGACTTCAAGTACGATCTACAACAACTCTTTTTCAGCTGCAACTCGAAGTTGGTAATGATCCAGTCTAAACCGCTAAAGCATCTTCATAGTGTTCCTGGTTTGATCGTAGAAGAATTTTTTGTTTTCTACTACATTTCCCAACAAGAAATCCACCAACTTTTTATTAGCTTTCAATAATACTACATACATATGTGTTATGGATGTGAGCAGGCATGAATATACTACAACTTCGAACTTTTTTATCTTGCAATTGTTTAACTCACTTTTAGAGAAAATGCCAAATTAGGGCTAGGGTATCAAGGAACCATATCTTTGGTGAAAATCTCGAAAAAAATACATTAGGTCAGGTCTGTAAGACATAGCCCTGATTTGGCGTTTTACTTGGTTTATTAACAATGAATCTAACTAGTGAGACCTATGCATTAGGGGCTGAGTTGGCAAAAATATCGCCACGCATGCATGCTGACTTGTTTATTCTTCCTTTCCCTCTTTACACGTGCCTTGTTGGATGCTTTTTCTCCGTAGCAATGGAGCACCCGCATGAGCTCCTCCTCTCCCTTCTTGCTCATCGAGCAACTTGATTTTAAAATGTTGCAATGCTCGCCCCCACTCCGTTGTCCATGGCGAATCACTACCGCAACTCTCTCCAATTCACTTTGCCATGATTAACAATCTGAACATATAAATCTTTCACTAATAAAACTTCTAAGCATCAACTATATATAGCAATTAACACCAAAAGGTGCTTTCAGCAAAGGATCTAAGGTAATAGTTCATAGATTGAAAGCTAACGTTGGAGATGTGGATGACGGTGATGATGGTGTTGTTGATGATGATGGTCTTCATGATCATACACATGATGAACGAATCATTGGTGATGTCAATGGCTTCGAATTCCCCCTTCCAAAGGGAAAGGATCCCAGAGAAATGGCCCTCTGAGAGCAGAACGGGCGAGGTAGGTATCTTCTTTGTTGGATACTTACGACTGGGCCACTAGACATAGGGTAAATCATTCGAAATGGTCTATTTTCTTTAGTAAAGGATGCCCACCAATTTTGGAATATGAGGTTAAAGGTATTCTCAATGTAGCAAATGAAACTTTGTCAGAGAAAGAGCAAGGTATGCCCTCTGATGTGGGAACATAAAAAAATGGTGTTGTCAAGTTTCTAAAAGAGAGGGTTTGGGATAAAGTTTGTGGATGGATGGACAAAATCTTGTCAGCTTGAGGTAAAGGAGTCCTTATCAAATTTATGGATCAGGCCATCCTAGTATATTCCATGGGTTGATTTAAACTTCCTAGGGGACTATGCCTTGACATCAATTCTCTTATATGGAGATTATGTTGGCGCAACAAAATGCTGAAAGGAAAACTTCATGGGTATCTTGGGACGTGATGACCAAACCTAAACTCCTTTGGGATCTTGGAATTAGATATATACAACTTTTTAATCTCTCTCTCTCTCTCTCTCTCTCTCTCTCTCTCTCTCTCTCTCCCTCTCTCCTTGCAAGACAGGGCTTGGTGGTTTCTACAACACCTGGACTCTTTGAGTTCCACGATTTTCAAGGTACTACCCAACTATAGATATTTTGCATGCACAACTTCCCAGTAACCCATCCCAGATATGGCGTTCCATTATCAAGGGTACATGTGTATTGTCACAAGGCCTAATCAGAAGGGTAGGTGACTGGAAAACTATTGATATATGGGAACAAATTTGGCTTCCAAGGGATTTTTCTATGCGCCCATATGCGTGTCTTGCACACGAAAGGCAACACTTTGTTTCCGAGCTTATGGATGAAACAACATCATCATGGAATAAAAGCAAGATTCCTCAAACTTTCCTGCCAATTGAAGCAGAAACAATCCCGAATATACCTTTGAGTATTGTACATCAAGAGGACTTCTGGGCATGGGGCCATGAAAATAGAGGTGTCTTCTCCGTCAAATCAGCTTATCGTATGCTTGTTATGACAAAAATGCAGAGGGCAGCATGGCTCAAAGGGCACGGGGGCTCGTCTGATCCAGTTAGAGAAAAAAAATCATGGACTAAACTTTGGCGGGGGGACATACCATCAAAGTTGAAGGTCTTCCTCTGGCATTTGGAATAGCAGTCAATTCCAACAGCCAGTCAACACTTGTCAAATTTGCGGGGCGTAAGACTCTTGGCTGCATTCTCTCATTCAGTGCACGTATGCCGGGTGTGTTTGGTCGCTAGCCGAAGACGACTTGTTGCATCATATTCTGGCAATGGCCGATCCAATAGCAAGAAACTGGTTGTTCTCCATGTTTGAATCATTATAGCGTGCACCGCTCACACAACTTGTTGTTACCCTTTGGGCTATCTGGTCTACACGAAGGAAGCTCCTACATGAAGGAGAACACCAAAGCGCCCTCTAGGGAGGCACTTGTTCATCAAAAAGGTTCATTGAGGAATCACAGATGATACAAAAAGACACCTAAAGCTTAGGCTTAGGTACACCCAATTGCTACTACTGCTGCCCCTAGATGGATCCCCCCTGAGCCAGGATCTTTCAAGATCAATGTGGACGAAGTTGTATCTAGAGATGGTATGAGAGGATCCTTTAGCGCGGTTGCTCGGAGTGGGCTAGTGATTATATGGGTTCCTCAGGAGTGATGATCGAAGGTCTAAATGATCCTGAAATACTTGAGACACTGGCATGCCGAGAAGGTTAATTGCATGTTGCAGACCTGAAACTTTCCAAGGTGAAGCTCGCCTCAGATTGCAAGATGGTGATTACTGATCTGACCAAGGTTTTCTGCAGGGAACAATGCGACCATCATCCAGGAGATTAAATAGAGGGCTCTAGCTTTTGATTCTTGTCTCTTTGTTCATGAAGGGCACTTCTATAATTTTGAACTCTGCCGTTATCACAATGCGTCATGTTTGGTT